AGTAGCTTGAAGATACCCAAAGTTTCACATCGAAATCCAGATAATTTTTCCGAATTAGACATCCATTCTGCCATGTTTACCAGTAATAAAATAAAATGCTTCCAGTATTAGAAACTACGAGCCTCTGATTTTAGGAAGCAGCTTACTTACAATTACTTACTTTATTTACAATTTTGGTTGATTAAATATAAATTTGTGCAAGAGACCAGCAACTAATTTATCATCCTGAAGATATTTTAAGACAAAAGTCAACTATCTCATTAAGCTGTAATATGATCTAATATTTACCAATATTGTACATTATAATGCAATTGCAATGGTCAGGTGTACCATCATGAGACTAACTGTGTTGGGATTTGCAGATATTGGACTGGAAAGCAAAGTATTCAGAACTGCTGAATATATTTGAACTTCAGCCCCACTGAAGAGATTCATTCAATCCTCTGAAGAAACATGGACATTTTGTCACATATGGATGGAATGTTAAATAGCAAAATCACCAGGAAGCCAGTATTTTCAGCTGCCTGCAAATGTTCTGGAAAGAAATAGTGGCAATTGAAGTAAACCTTCCTGCCTCCCTGTAATCTAAAGGTTTCATTCAGACTGCCTATGCTGATAAAAAGCCAGCATTTATTCTGGATGGTTCATAATATGAGACATATGTAGTACAGTATTCACTGTTGTATAGATATTGATTAGCTAGCAATGTAAACATTGCAGGCTGAATATGAACAAGCAATGTGATGTAGCTGCAGTCTGATGCTACCTGGAAGAACTATCCTCTCCAAATCACCAAAAGAGTAATTCCATTACTGCACTAGAGACAGACCACATTCTCCAGTACTGTGCTCGATTCCAATTAATTGAAGGGAGGATTCACATAAAATGGAACTACTGAGAGAGAAAGTCTTACAGAGGAGGAGGAAGAAAAGCAGCATGATGTCACTTATTATGTACCAGAGGGATTGCTTACAGTTGGTATTGGTTTTGTACCATGCCAGCTAGTGTCAAAGACAATAACAGCTAAGTTACAGAAAAGCAAATTTAAGTATATTGTATACCAGGGGGAAAAAAAGTTTTCAGTGCTGAGAATAGTTTAATAGTGGAACATAATTGTATGGGGAAATAGTCAGCTCTTCTTGTAGGATGGATTGAAATGAATGGATGTTCTGCACTATGGCAAGTACAGCAAGGATCTGCTGTTCAGTTGACTGCTGTTCAAATCTAGATATCCCAAATTCAGACATGAACTGGAAGGGGAACAATATGAAGACATCTAATTGATTATTATATGCCATCAAGTCAGTGTGGACTCTTAGTGACCACACAGAGATTTCCTCCAGGGGGATTTGTTCCCAATCTGATCTTTCGATAATGATGAAAGATTTTAAAATCTGCAGAAATGCTATATTGCCAATACCATGTCTCACAAATTAAAGCAGGTTTCAGATATAAAGAGGAACAATGTAAATAAGAGAAATTGCGGAATTTCAATTGTTTTCCTCCTCTTTCCTGCAGTATCCTGAGATAGGAGAAGAGGAATGCTTTGATAATAAATTCACAGTGCAAAGAAAAACTACAATATTTGTATTATAATAATAACTGAAGATGTTAACCTGAGCTGTTGGTGAAACATCAGGACAAAGAACACTAGCCCTTGGCATTCAGCATGAGAGCTCATTGCTGCTTCAAAGAGCATAATACCCTTTCTGCATTAAGATTCTGATTACTTGTGACATAAACTAATACAGATTTTGTAGGAGAAGTTGTAATTTACTTAGTTCCCAGCTGGACTTACAAAATTTTTTGATGATACAGATGGATAAGCAAGTTAAGGATTACACAAATTACACAGAGCTTCTAATGGGCCTGTATTCAAAGGCCAAACATTTAGAGTACTGTACATATTTTTTAGCGTGGAAACATTAATGAATAGATTGGTACTTCATTTTGATGAATTAAAGACAGAAAGTTCACTACATAATTAAATGAGAAGCCTTCAGTGGGCCAATTGTTATTCCTGACAAATGTTTACTTCAGATAATTAGAGAGCTTTAAGTAGTGCTGGTATTCACTAGAATTTTTCAAAAATCTATTGGAGGAATAGTAGAAACATCCACTCTCATTCTTTCCTAACTTGAAATTCCAGCATCAAAAGTGATCCATGTTCAGGAATGGCTCTATGAATCTGCTCACAGGAGGCATCATTTAAGCTTCTTATTTTCAAGTCAGTTTTTCAAAGCTTTTCAGGGCCAGTGTGAGCCTTTCCTTCCCTTTGTTTTCTTCCCTTTAAGGCAGCCTGAAGAGCATTGCACCATACCTGGTTTTCAATTATAAAAGGAAAACAGGGATAAGCGCCTGAGTGTGTGTTGAAGGATGGCTTGTGTTGTCTGAGAGAGCGGAGAGGAAGAATTTGCAGTTGAGCGAGTGGAGCAGCCATTAGCTCAAATGGGTTACATTCAGTGGTGGGATTCAAATATGTAAACAACCGGTTCTCTGTGTGGATGCTGCTTCCGAAAGTCCATTCTGGGCCTGGGCAACAAAAAATTAGCTACCGGTTCTGCCGAAGTGGTGTGAACCAGCCGAATGCCACCACTGGTTCTGTTCATTTGTTCAGAACTGTTTAATATGACAGTGAAAATAATGGGAGTTAAAGACTAGTCCTCAAAATTCTGCTGTCCCAGAATCCCTGGGATCAGTCCACATTTGATTAGCCTGCTGCTGCTGTCCATGTGCCCTGGGCCTGCCTGTGCTCTGTTGCATCCCCCTGCAGGACTCACTCTCCTGTGGCACCTAAAATTCCTCCCCCCAGTAGGTTTCACTCACTGGCTTGCTTGCCTGAACTCCTGTCTCTTCCCACTTAATGACTCACATAGTCATGGAGATATGACAGCAGCTACCACTGTTAGGATTGTTGATGCTAAGTGAAGCAATCATATGTCATGCTTTATGACCATATTGCTTAGCAATGGAAATCTCAAGTGCCATTATAACACGAGAACTAACTATACACCAAACTGCTTCCCCAAGCGTTAAGGGAGGAGTTTGGAAAATAAGTAAATTTGTTAAATTGTATAGAACAAAAGCTTCCCTGGAAACACAAGAAAGATAGACTGTCAATTGGTGATTTGCACCATTTTCTAAAGGATTTCCTCATATACTTGGAGCAGAAAGTTTCCTTTTGGTGTCAATAAGGTTACCTAAACTCTTTATCTATCAAGAACTATGAGACAAACACATCTACACAGTTCACAATATTAAAATGTTTTCTAGTATTTGTTTTCTCCCAGCTCAAAATACCTTTTGTTTTGTGGTGTAGAAAAATGCTACAATCTGAAAAGGTAGGTAACTGGAGAGAGCTTTTTAAAAAGTAAAGTTCAAAAGTTGTATCCGATGAAAGAATTATATAGATGTCTTTCTTTAGGGAAAGGCTACTTATAGGTCCTTGATCGTCTATAAGTTTCTAGGGTGTATTCCTAGTCCTAGTCAAAGATGAGGGGGGCAAACTATTTTCCAAAGCATCTGAAGGCAAGACAAGAACCAATGGATGGAAGAGAAGCAACCTAGAACTAAGGAGAAATTTCCGAACGGTGAGAACAACTAACCAGTGGAACAGCTTGCCTTCACAAGTTGTGAGTGCCCTATCACCGGAGGCTTTCCAGAACAGACTGGCAACCAGTTGTCTGAAATGGCATAGACTCTCCTGCTTGAGCTGGGGATTGGACTAGATGACCTCCAAAGTCCCTTCCAACTCTATTATTCTATTTTAAATATGTTAAGAAACACGTTCACTTTGTCCTCAAGGAAATGGAGAAAAGTTTGAAAGCAGCATTTGCTGAAAGTTCTAAAAACATTAAGCCAGGATTTGGGCTGCATCATATTATTCACTATACATACTGCTTGCTTCATTTTGTCATCCAGTGCTTTATATGTCCTTTCAAGTAACCACACTTAGCCAAGGTGTTCCAAAATTTTATTAGCTATCTCCCACAGCTCTACAAAGGTCTGCTGAAAAGAAATGTCAACAGCACACTTCCCTAATAAGGGGTGTAAGGAAAAGTCATTCAAATATAACCTGAGATGTCTACCTTTATGCACATTTTCCGTATTTGCATAATACAGATGATTTATCTCAGGATTGTCATAGTGTTTCCCTGAAAAGTTATTGGCAGCTATTTCCATTTATAACCCGCAAGTTCTTTCAATACAGAATCACATACTGTACTTAAAAGGAGTCAGGTGGGAGGAAAAATACATTTTTTCCTTACATCAGCTGGTAAAAAAAATCCATTGTATAGAATGAGACACCTGCAGCATAGAGCAGGGCTTTTCAACCTTTTCACCCATTGTACCACTTTTACGATATGGCAATGTCCGTGTACCACCAGTCGCCTAGCAAGGTGTCACAAACTTGATGACCAAAAAAAAAAAAAGGGAAAAAAGTGATAAAGTACTGGTAGTCCTCAACTTACAACAGTTCACTTAGTGACTGTTTGAAGTTACAATGGCACTGAAAAAAGTGCCCCCCAAGCCACAGCCGAGCAAGACACCTGCCTGTCCACCCAGCGGCGCTCTTCCTCCTGTTCAAGGTTTTCATTGTTGTGAGCATTTCTGTTGAGGATTGGCAGCAGGGGTGGGAGGTGTTTGGTTTTTATTCCCCGCGTCTGCTGGGTGGTTGCAGCAGGTTTTGGTCACTTCACATGACCCTGGGATACTGTGACCGTCATAAATATGAATCAGTTGCCAAGCATCTGAATGTAAATCATAAGACCCTGGAGATGCTGCAACATTCCAGCTGATCGGTGCTTCTTCAGGGTTCAGCAGAAGCACCAGGATCAGCGCCGAGCTCCAGCTGGAGCCTGGCACTGATCCTGGCGCTTCCACTAAGCCCCGACAGCCCTGAAGAAGTGCCAATCAGCTAGAAAGCGGCACTGATCCTGGCGCTTCCGCTGAGCCCTGACAGCCCTGCAGCTCCAGCCATCTCTCGCTTAGGCTTGTGCGGTGCTGCCACTGGTTCAGCTCATTCCCCTCCCCCACTACCACTTTTCTAGGATGGTCGCGTACCACCTACCAGGTGCCAATGTACCACAGATGGTACCCGTACCACTGTTTGAAAAGCCCTGGCATAGAGGACCCTAAAATAACTCCTCTTCCAATTGAGAGAGACAAGATGGGATTCAGTGATAAGGCGTTAGAAGTAACTTGTCCCCAGAGGTTGTTCACTGGAAGTTCTCAGAGAAGCAAAGATTTGAAGAGTCTGTTTCCTGATTGGGCCTGGGATTTAGCTCCAGAGCATCATGACTATTGGAACTAGTCAAATCAAGGTGGCAGGTATAGGCAAGCCACACCAGAGTTGCTGTCCCTTTCTTTTTACATACACATCTAGCCTCCTGGTACAACTACCTTATTCCCCAAGGATTTATTTCCCAGGTTAGTGGCCTGCCTCCAAAACTCCAGAGAGCCAACACAAATACAGGCCTCTAGGCCAGGGGTCCTCAACCTTGACAACTTTAAGACTTACGGACTTCAACTCCCAGAATTCTGAGAGTTGAAGTCCACAAGTCTTAAAATTGCCAAGGTTGGAGACCCCTGCTCTAGGCAACTCACACCCCAGCAGTCAAAGCTAGTACTACCTGTTTATTCTACCACTTTTCCCCAATTCTATACAACTCCTGTTCTTCCATTAATTTTCTTTGTGAGCTCTACTTCTGAGGAACAGTAACTCTTCTATTTGCCATAGGCTGCTTCAGATTTCCACAGTTCCCCAAACACAAACCAGGTCACCCTCTCATACCAATATCGGCCTCTATGCTCAGCTTTTATAGCCACAAGTTACCGGGCTATCTAGGGAGAAGTCTTAAAGGGGCAGGGCTCCAGCAGCCCAGGTGCTGGCTATTTTGCAGGCAGCCTGTCCTCCCACAGACTTATTTTATGTTAAATAAAAATCATTTATTTTCTATTATTTCTGGTAAGGGAGGAGGTAAGGTTCAACTGTTTGGGCCCTATAATCTGATTAAAAGAGAAAAATGGAGGCCATCTAATACAAATCTTATCCTTGTGAAGAGGGAGTTTTTTTTTGCTGCCCCACATAGATTCCAGGTGCTCATAGGAGGCAGCTGCCTATTAAAAACAACACTTACTGTAAATATTTGCCCCATGGAAGTCTTTCAATGGGGAGGGGGGCAAGAAAAGGCGACCCTCAAAATTTGGATACTGAGGCTTGAAAAATGGAGGTCCATTTATCTGCAAAGACATGGGTCAGGAACGCTTTCTCCTATAGCTGCCGAACAAATTATTAATTATCAAAAAAACAATCTTCATGAAAAGCAAAAATAAATCATACTAATTCAAACATAAATTACATCAGTATATTCTAGAAAACAGGATAATGGCTTATTTTTAAAATGACTGATCTTGAACATTAATTGGATTGAAAACCCATTGAAACCAATGGAACAAGAAAGACAGTTGCAACATAAACATGTTGCAAATATGATTACAAACAGCTTTGAAATTTCTTTGGATCACAGTAATCTGTGATTTTTTTTTCTTCCTACAACCACTGTGTGCTATTCCATCTTAATTAGATATATTATTAAATTAAATATAATATACTTAATTACTTCTGTAAATTGGTCTATCATTTGAATGGTGATAATGTCTTTTGTTAAAAAAACAAAATTATGACTGATATGATTTAGTTCTTCATTTAAAGTAGTTCAATAATCAAATATATTTCACTTTATGCGCATTAAATGGAAATGCAACCAGGGATCAAAGAAAACAAAAGCTGCTGGCTGAAATATTCAGAATTTCCAGAGTCTTCTGTTTTGGCAAGACAAATGTAGAATCTTCGGGCTGCATCCTTTTTTTGCAAAACCTGGTGAGATCTCTCTGTTCTCCAGAGCTGTCAAGCTTTGTCACTTTAAGTAGTCTGGCAGACTGTCAGCAGCGCAACGGAATCCCAGATTGGAAGCTGAGCTGTCAGGCGTATTTTGGCTTCGGGCTGCACATCGATATCTATAGCAATAGGACTAGGAAGGAGAATGAGTGGATTATCACAAGTGTTCCCATGGATGAAACATATCATAGCAGCTTTGCTAAGATGGCAATGCACTAGCTGCCAGGAGGACTGTTAGTCATTCAAAGGAGTCGTTTTCTTTCTAGATTTCACCAAACAGGAAGAGGTCTCCAGAATGGTGCTTCCCATCATGACAGAAACACGTGGCCGAAGATAATTTGATTCTTACCAGTTGGAAAATACAGGTTAATTTCTTTTTAACTTCCTCCCCACTTTTTAAACACTTCTTTAATTTTATTCCATGTCCTTATGCCCTCCCAGCAACCACTTTAGTTTCCTTGGAAGAGAAAACCACTTTGTTATTTGAGAATTGCAGCTGTAGGCAAATAAGATCTTTGTTACCATAGTGATTTCAGTGTCTTGTCACAGTGAAGTGTCACAGTGTCTATGCCAGACGAGTATTAGTGGTGATATACTGAGATGAAAAAAATGATAGAGAAATGTATTCTGTCTCCATTCTTAAGGCCTCCAATCTCCAAGTTAATCATAATCCTGGGATTATTGAACTAAACGAATCACATGGAATCATTGCTTCTTCAAACAGCAGCTTTTTATAGGGACTAGCTATATATTTTCGGATGTGTTTTGCAAGGAATTTTTCCTGGTGGCGGGAATACAAACTGTTTGCAGTGTCAAAAAACTTCTGACTTGAGTGTTGTCTAGGGACATAAAGTTTAGCGGGAGCAAACGTGTGTGTGTGTGTGTGTGTCTATATGTATATATTTCAGTGAATAAACTTTTATTACTTATTATTTATATGTTTACATATTAAAATTCATATTTGAACTTTATCTAAAAAGTGCTGTACTATTCTACACACTTTTTGAATTTTTACAATATACAGTAGATTTTAAGGGTTCGCAGAGTATACCTTCTTGTGCAATTCTTTTTTTTTTTTCAAAGAAATTTAAGGTTTCTGATATGGCTTACCAGAAATTTGCCCGTAATGAACCACAAGTTATTTTTGTTAATTTTTTCACATATGATACATTTCTCTATTCCAGTGAAGTTATAAATAATGGGCACAATCAGCAAAAAAAATCTTTACATATGTTCTTCTGTGTAACATTTGTATCTTTTGTAACATCATTTTGACAAAGAAAACCTATGCTTAAACTCAATATTTGTCCCAATAAAATAATTTAATCTTATGTCATATAAACATAAAATAATAGCTTTAAATATATATAATTTTGCATTTCATACGTTTGAGTTTCTTTTTGAATTCTCAAGAGAGAATTTCAAATGGCTGCATATTTGGGATTGGCAAAAATATAGGAAACTTCAGAGAAAAAGGAATATTGTGTTTGTGTGATGCCTGTGGCAACCGAAAATGAAGTGGAAATGGCTTTTGATCATACCAATACTATGCAGCCAATAAATATGTTCTTTAAGGAAACCTCTTGCCTTGGACTTCTGTTTTTACTGGTCTCATCTATCAGAACCATGACAGCCTGCTTCTCTTAAGCAGAATATTTTTATGCAAATATGAAATACATATATTTGTACAGCACAAAATGATTTTTTTAGTATAAATGTTTCCTTAAATAATACTTTGCCACAGTTTGTCTGACTGAGGTTCTATTTTCACAATAAGCATTTCCTGGCAAGCAAAATAACAAAAACAAGCCAGCATTTAATAACTCTGAATTTAGAAGTGTTACTTTATCTCTCATCAACTGTTCTTAAAGTGCTATATAAAATAAATTAAAATATGATCAAAATCTTTTTTTAAAAAAAAATCTAACAGAAGTTATGCATTTGTGCTTTTCTGATAAAATAGTATAGCAAAAAGAGCAAATTGCAGGAACTTAATACAACTAAAAAAATTGAGGGAAAAGATTCACTGGGATTTTCCTTTTTCTATTTAAGGAAAAATGATTCACATAATTGTAATGCAGATAAGAAATATTGACTATCTTTGGTTTGTATTTAGCTTTATTATGTCACTCAAAATAGACGGAGCCTGGGGACCAACCATTTCTCATAAAGATTATGTACTATTTAACAATGCTTTCAAGTTTTGAAAGTAGCAGGAACTTTTAGCAGCCTTAATAAAGAATATTTATCCTGTATACTGTAGACTAAAATCGGCCATATTACTTACCTCTAAAGAAACCTTTTATCCTGTTAATTTAATCAAATCTGCTAGTTAATGTGTGACATTAATTTCACCTCCAAATAAGATCAAGTAGAATATTTGATCTCAGAGTAGAAAATGGCAGCTCTGTTAAACTGTTACACAGAAAGTTTTTTAAATGATTATTAAATAAGATTTTTTTAAACACTACAGAAGAAAAAGTACATTATTTTTAATTAGAATAAATTAAACAGGGAACATTATTTGCTTTCCATAGGATTTTTCAAAAACCTTGGCATTCACTACATTGGGAATTAGCCAAATGGGTGCATAGGCACATGGATACCTTCCCATTTATAAAATTTGCTTAGGACTTATTTTTAAATCAGTTGATGAGTGCTAAGAGTAAATACTTTTAAAATAGATTTATCCCCAATTTTCAAAGTGTTCTCTTTTTAGGCAACACTTTCACAACTTTCCATATGCTGATAAATACACTATAAGAGGAACTGCCTTCAATGCAATTCTTTCCCTTTTGTGCACCACGGGAGATGTGTGTGCCCTTTGAGGGAGGCCTGAGGGCTGCAGCCCAAGAAATGAGCAAGAAAAGGGCAAAGCCAGGACAACAATTGAACTAGGTTCAATTTGAATTGTATTTTAAAGAAATGCATCATTTTCACTAAAACCAATTTAATGTAATTAAATGCAATTAAAACGATTACCTGTCATGTTTTTGATTCATTTTCCCAAATGTCATTTTAAAAATTACAATTTGGCAGGAACTGTTCGAGGGACAGATGGCAGCTCTAGTGAGCAGACCTTTGCAGAGCTCATCCTATGCTCAAGTTGTGCCCCTTCTTGGCCTGGGAAGGGTCCTTCAGATGTCCTAGTCATCTAATAACTGGACTACTGCAATATGTACTACCAGACTGCTCTTGTAGACCCTCTGAAATCTACCATTACTGATTGTCATCTATAAAGCCCTTCATGGCAAAGAGCCTAGTTATCTGAGGAACTGCCTGTCTCCATTGGTTCCAGCCTGTGCAATAGAATCAGGTAGAGTGAGAAGTTCCAAGTTCACTCGAACAATTAAATACATTGCCTGGAAATTCATCTGCCTCTGACTTTATAAGAGTCCCACGAGATTTTAAAACATGGTTTTATTTCCAGATCTGGAATAAGGTTGTTTGTTGAGCCACAGACAAATTTTGTATAGTATGTTTTTTGTTTTGTTTTGCTTTTTTTACTGGTTTGGTGATTATTTTTATCCAAGCATATATATTGCTGGTGTGGTGGCCCAGTAGTTAGAATACAGTATTGCCGGCTACTTCTACTGACTCCTGGCTGCCAGCAGTTTGGCAGTTTGAGTGCCACCGGCTCAAGGTTGACTCAGCCTTCCATCCTTCCTAGGTTGGTAAAATGAGGACCCAGATTGTTGGAGGGAGGGGCAATATGCTGACTCTGTAAATCGCCTAGAGATGGCTGTAAAACACTGTGAAGCGATATATAAGTCTAAGTGCTATTGCTATTGTTTTTGCTTTTTTCTCTTTTTAACTTTGTAAGTTGCCCAGAGTATAAGTGGACATCCTTCTAAATCTAATACAACAAGCAAGCAAGCAAAAATGTTTGTGAAAGTTTTGTGGCTGCCAAAAGTGCAGCTTTTGGGGCCTCAATTAAATGAAGCCTCCAAAGGGTTGAATGGCTAATTCAGCTCTAAAGAATTCTACATGGGTTGCCTGAGATCCTATTATTCTAATTGTTGGTGGCTAAAAGTAGTAGGGATGAGAAGAGCCAAATTGATCCTCAGCCATAGAAACTCACTGGAATGACTTTGGAGCAGTCACCATTTTTCTACCCTGCCAATTCCATAGGGTTATTGTGGGGAAAAATCAGAGAGTAGTATTCAATAAGTAATAACAGATAGCAAAACAAAAGCAGAGCTTAGCTTCTTCATTTCCTCTTGGGTTAAATTGATTTTAACATACTGTTAGCTGTGACCCAAAGCAGGGACCACTGAGGTAGCATTCAATTATACTGCTCTTGCAGTATCTGGCTTCATCTTTTATGTTACACAGTAATGATTCTGGAAATCTAAGAGGAATAGCATCCCTGGGCTGAGTAATGGAAAGCCTTGGGGACAAAAACTAGATGAAAAATCAGTCTGCAACCCTAGAGCTCCACCAAAAATTAGCTTGTGGTCCAATGTTTGTTATACTTGTGATGGCCATAATGGTTTTTCTTTGTCTCAGAAAGGCACTTTGATGTTCTTTAAAAACTCTCTAAACCCACAAACTGGCAGTTTTAGAGGTTGGTTGCTGGAGCAAAAAGAAGATTGCCAAGTTCATTGTTGTCTTAAGAAGGTGTGACAGCTAAACTGCCATCAAGCTAAAATTAGAAGACAATTGACATTTTATCTCAGCTCAAATAAACTCCAAGTAGATCTTGCTTATTCATCAAGTTATTTCTATCTGACGTACCACTTCCAATCGGTTCCTGTCTTCATATATTCACAATTTATTATTTATTAGCTTTTAGTGGATACACAAATAAAAACTGCAGATACTATAATTAGACAAATAATATATACTTTTTATCATTACCTTATGGCACATATAGGATCCACCTTTCTTCACTCGGTCAGACCCTTTTGAAGGTCCTTTCTGGGGACAAAGGGATACTTATTATTGTTGATCTATGCAAGACTAAGTGTAAATAACAATCAAAGAAATTCAAAGAGATTTCTTGGAGGTCTGAATGTGTCATCGTTCACAAGCAACTACAGCTAGTTTTTACAGCAAGAAATAACAATTACATTGTTTCAGGAAGGATGACTGGAAGATAATTTGGTATAATTGCTCTAGCCTCAATACAACAGCTATTTCAGTTTTAAACAGCAGCTCTTGTGTCAAGTCTGCATGTAGCATTCTATTTTAGTTTAGTGTGTAATGCATAGCTAGAACTTGATGACAAGGTTGAACTTGTGATGATGGATGGAAAAGGAAAAGGGATTAACAAAATTTTATCCCCTTTTTATGGAGTTGTGCTATTGATGCTGATTTAAGAGCTGAAGATCTCTGGTTAATTTGTCTATTACTGAAAAACTAATCCAATGATGGATTTGATCAACGTTCTGGTATGTTTCTTGAAGCTCAGCATTATGGAAGTCTCATTCTTCACACTAGTTTAGAAGACAAATTCCCAAAGTCTAACATTCCATAATTAGATTATTTCTGCTGGAAATTTGTTTTTTGTTTTTCAAATAAATGGATAGCAAATTAATTAATTAATTAAAACTCCCGGACAGTCCCCATCTCTTCCCCTGCAAAATCCTATGAACTACTTGGCCTCACTTATTCAGTGTAATTAGGAGCAATGGCTAAGTTTGTAATGTTTCAATTACCTCATATTCAAGATTTTCTGGGCAAACAGGTGTTTGAACCTGTTTGCCCCTTTCAAACATACATTTAAAAGACCCAAACATCTCTCTAGATGGAAAAGTAACAGCAAGGTTGATATCTGACAACAATTCTGAACTTGTTACTGAGATTTTATCATATTCATGATTGGTGTAAACAACAGAGTTAAGTAAAAAATTAATACCCTTAACTACTTTTAGTTCTCCTTATATGCATATGTTATTTAAAAACTGATCTAAGAACTCTTCTTGGCCCCACAAAAGCAAACATTAATTTAAAATCCAATAATTCTTAACATATCAGGATGGTACACTTTTATGCTCCATGTATAGAATTTTATATGAAGTCTACCCTTTCTGTTTGGAGCAGACAGGATATTTGTTTAGAGTGACTAAGTCCTTCTAGGTAAGGCACGGATTGGAGAAGGGACCCTTGCAGGACCACCGTAAGGAATTTTCTAGGTTTTTGTTGGATACAGGTAGTTTTTGTTTTGTGACTGCAATTGCCACCAAGTGACAGGATCACTGAGTGAAACATATGACAAAGAGGGATGATGTGAAGCTGACTGTTGTAGAGCAGGGGTCCCCAACCCCTGGTCCGTGGACCAGTACTAGGTCACAGCATGCCAGCAACTGGGCCATAGAAACAAGCAAAGCCCCATATGCGGGATGCAGGCAGCACACAAAACCACACACACCCCAGTCCCCAGAAAAACCTCTCTCCACAGAACTGGTCCCTAGTGCCCAAAAGGTTGGAGACCTCTGTTGGAGAGAACTCATTCAGATAAAGTTCTCTCAAGCAGTGGCCTATGCTGGATCCATTCCCTCCCCCCCCTTTTTTGTCCATGCATAGGGTGGATAGATGCTTAAACAAGCAATCTCTTCTTGAGCTGCTTTTCTCCTCAGTGTTGCTCCTGCCTAAAAAAAATACAAGCTGCAAGTGACCTTGCTGACCTTAAATCACTTTTACACTGAAGGCTTTTGCTGTTGTAAATGCATGCATTAGTCAGCAAATTTATTTTTTATTTTTTATTACCATTATTACCATCGTATTTATGAAAGTTTGCTATCTAATGCAATTGTTATATAAGGACTACATGTACATTAGGATTTCCTCCGAATTGGCTTCTGTCTATGCAGGTCCCATGTAGTTTGTGCTTGGTCATCTTGGAAAAACTCAAGTCAGTTAGTCCTGAGGTTGTGAAAAGGTTGGCTAATTGAGGATGTTACGTTGTCATGCTCCATGTATAGGATTTTACATGTCTACACTTTCTCTTTGGAGCAGAGGGGATATTTCTCTATTTTACATGATCTATATCAGGGGTGTCAAACTCACAACGTTACATGACATGTCGTGACGTATCACAACTTTTTTGCCATTGTCGGCAATGGGGTGGGCACAGCTTTGCTATGACGCATCCAGCCTGCGGATCAGCAGTTTGACACCCCTGACCTATATCCTGTGTGGTGCTTTCAGTTAGATTGGTACTATATGACTGGAATCACCCTATTTTCACCTTGTTAGACATAGGAAGCCAGATATTCTCTATGGAATTTCTCTCTGCTTTGAGAGCTTATGTAAAGGTGGATTACAGATGCCATTCTCACAGATTCTATATATCTCTTCTGGGAACCACAGAGGACCAGGACTTGGTTAACTCCTGAAAAATAATCATGTACATGAGTTCAATTCCCAGTAAAGGTTTGAATCCCATAGAATAACATCTCACTATCACCACTTGATGAGTGTGAAGTAGGATGGAACCAGTCATATAATGTTCCAGGTGGTGATTGTAACTTCTTCCTCCAAGGACAGCTCTACTCAGTGTTGGTAAAAAGGGAGAGGTCTGGCCCTAGATCCCTGAATTGTGAAATAATTATTTAATATCTACATAAGCTTCTGGCACCAGTTTTCTATTTGCATGGAATGAATTAAGCAGCTGTAGCTTTCTGTTCTCAGCGGCCAAGTGATGCCACGGTAGTTTACAGTGCCTGGAGGCTATGGGAATCTGGCTGGGGAAGACTTTGACTCAACCACAGCAAAACTGAATAGCTGGGTTTTACAGCTCCCTGAGCCCAGAGATTTTCCATGACTGAGTCTGGTAGGATTGCACTTCGTCAGAAAAGTACAGTTTGGGAATCCTTCTGGACTTATGGTTGGAGATCAGGTGGCAGCCCTGCTCATTGGGACTTTTGTACAAATCCATCTTGCACATAAATTGTCCCTGTTCCCATAAGAGGAGGTTCTGCTCATGATAATTTATGTCTTTGTCACTTCTTGGTTGGTCAAAAGCCATGCTCACCATCACACCCCCATCCCCCATCAAGATGTAGTTGACTGTCAAATAAGCTAACCCATTTGCAAAATTGATTTCCCATCTGCACATACTAATGTTTTTCTTAAACAAACTCAAATGGTTTTCACAGAGAAACAAAGAAGCACGCCCACAGATATAGTTTTCATCTTACAATCTAAATCTTAAGGCTTAAATCTTGATTGTTGTACAAAATGGTTAAGAGTAACACCTTCATTCAACAACTGCAATCCTGGCATTCCTGTTTGCAGTCATTAAGTGATCAAGTGAATGGAGTCCCAGGGAAGTAGTGCAGGATGCCTGGGAAGATACTGCCTGGGAGGCTCAACTTTGAAGCTGGAAATCCTCCCTGCTGAAATCCAAGCAGGATTTTCAGCCCCTAAGGGAGAGACATTTGCACACAGCCACATCGGGCCCCATCCGAGGCACCCAGTGCTGCTTACCTTATTGCACTATCTCTCTACTCTCTGCTTTGCTTTTGGCTCCCTCTCATTTCTAGGGGCGGCTGAAAGAGCTACCTGTCAAAGGATATCATCTCTCCCCTATGTATGGAAAGCAACTCCTTTGTCGGGATCCAGAAAGAGCTCAAATCATCAGAAACTAAGCTCTGTTCTCAACCCCAGTGAAGTAATTGGCAAGCAGCTCTTTCAGCCAATCCCCAGAGATGACAAGCAGTCAGTCAGCTACAGCTTGCAATCTGTCTTGCCAGTTTCCCTTTTGACTTTCTTTGGAAGCCGGCAGAGAAAATTGCAAATGGCGATCACAGTATCATGGGGTGCTTGGCAACTGATCAGAAGTCCGAACAGGTTGCCAAGCACCCAGATTGCGATCATGTGACTGCAGGGGGAGGAGGAGCAAAAGGCAGAGAAGCACGATTCTCCTTACAGCATGAAAAAGCTTGTTGTCCAGCTTTTTTTCTTTAAAAAAAATTAAATAACCTACACATCATTTACACTTGTAGAACAATTGAAAATGATTCTGAATGATTCTAAACTTCCGTTTGTAAAAAAAAGGAGCTGTGATGCATAGACTGAAATAGATACTGAATAGATCTGTTCAGCAACCATCTATTTCCAAAAGCAGAAAGGCTAAAATTACAGCCATCTCTAATTTAAGGAGCACTTATCATATTCATGCTTGAATGCTTCTTGACAATCTGATAATTTTCAGTTAACAAAACATCATCATTCATCAGGACATCATTCTCTTCTTCTTTTTCACATACATTCAGACATAATTTCTACTAGTAACTGAAAGAAAGGCTGTTCTGCCATTAATAGAATAAGTTGCCAACATGATTAAGAAAACTAAACAGAATACTACATCAAAAACTAGTATGTGTATGTGTGTGTATATGTGTATGTGTATGTGATAAAATCCAAAGAATAAGTCGATCACCAATAGAAATAATAAAAGAGTTTATAACCAAGCTTTCGTTGGGAGTCATCCAACATCGTCAGGGTTCTAAAGGTAGACGCTGGGGGATACACTTTTTATAAGATGTTATCCTGCATCCGGCTTCTAGAATGTGTCAACAGGCCCAGATGATCATGCCGTGCCTTAGATGTTTCGCATATGTCATCATGTCCCATTTTCTTCATCCGACCGTAAGTATTTTTCCCATTTTTCTTCATCCGACCGTAAGTATTTTTCCCATTTTTCCCAGTCCTGAGGCTGAGAGGAATCCCCGTCCCTTCACATGCTGATTGTCTCCCTCCTCCCTCGCCCCCCTGTGCACAAGCCGAGGGGGGAAGTTCTCTCTTCCCCTCATCATTAAATCCACCCATTTTTGGTCGGGGTGTGCCATCATCCTTATTACTCTCCACCTCACTATTCTCCTCAATAATTACCAGTCCCGTATCACTGACACTGCCTTTCCCTCCCCCCACCATCTCTTTCACACATCAGTCCAGATGTCTCCTCCTCACGT